GTTTCCAATCAATAAATCTCCTTTACCTTATAGTTATAAAACCTGACTCATGGATCATTGCTAAGGTTATATTTCTACTATCAGAAATACACACATGCATAGCAGGGGTGGGTTCTACTTACCTTTACTACCGGTTCGCAGTGAGGCTGTGCGCGATTGCTTCGAGTACGTGCTCTCTCTTCTTCGCATGTGCATAAGTGTTTTGGTGACGTCGGGGACAGTGGGTAGGGCCTCCCACTGGTTTTACTACCAGTTCTATAGAACCGGTACGAACAGGGGGCAACCCACCACTGATGCATAGAACATTTCAAACTACAATTGAAGGCAACAGGGTCCTTCAAAAGAGGGCTAAAATGCCCAATAACTGATGTCCTTGCATCAGTTAAGTCTCTGGTGGCTTGAAGAGGATTTGGGGAAAACATTTAAATGTTTCTATTTTTATTCTTTTAAAGATATTTATGTTAGGTTTTTAATGTTTTGATGCTGGGTTGAAGCTGCCTAGAATTGTTTACTAGAAGAGGGGCAGCAAAACAAACAAACAAATAAAGTAGATTAAAAGGGTACTCTGCCCACCTTAAACATCTGCTTCAAATTTCTCATTGAAGGGGTGTGGAAAAAATGGTATCTACTATAATAAATCCTCAGAAATATATGAAGGCCCTAAGTTCTCTATTCTTAGTCATGGCTCTCCAAATAGTTCTTTAAATTGTAATCATCATAATACATGATTTTATATTTTATACATCTGGCTTTCAGGAGAGAGAACTTGACTCTACTAAGTACACTCAAAAGCCTGCTTGGGGTTTCTGAGGATGGAGATATGGGATTCTCTCCAGATTCTGGTGTGACTAGTGCTACAATAATGTCAGTAGTAAGGGAAAGCACTGTAATCAATTGTACTTCTCTAAGGAATTTCCCTGCCAGTCAAGACCTTATGGAAATCTGGAAATTAAAATAAAGAAACAAAGCCAGAGTTTATTTTAAGGAGGGCAGGAAAGAACCTGCAGCAAATGAGATTCTGTCATTTTGGCCTTCAGGATTTTGAGTAACAAGAGGTTGTGTGAGGTCATGAAACTATATGTAAAGTATTTGTAATATTATGAAACATTAAAATTACTATAATATGTATGTATGTATGTATGTATGTATGTATGTATGTATGTGTGTATGTATGTTCCAGCATAACTCTGGAACGCCTTGAGCAATTTTAACCAAACTTGGTACACATATGATTTACTCTCTGGAAAAAAATACTGTGGGGGTAAGACACCCCTAACACCCATTGGTGTGTGTGTGTGTATGTTTGTATGTGTGTATGTGAGTGTTCCAGCATAACTCTGGAACGCCTGGAGAAATTTCAACCAAACTTGGTACACAGATGATTTACTCTCTGGGAAAAAATACTGTGGGGGAAACACCTCTACTATCCATTGTGTGTCCTGTGTGGGTGTTCCAGCATAACTCTGGAATGCCTCGAGCAACTTTAACGCCGTGGCCATGCACCACCTGCTGGACCATTCCAAATAGCGAGGAGGACGGTTGCCACCACATGAGTATTGGCCCAGGGAGTTACTGCAGCAGGCAGCCATGCGCAGCCCTATGCCACTGGGTGCCAGATGGTGGTTACCAGTAGGTGTGGGCAGACGGATGGACAGCGGGTGGGGCCCAAAGACTTATAATGATTTTGTGTATGATTTTACTTTATAATGTGTATACTGTTATACACTTTACATTTACATTATATATACTTTTAAAAAGTATATATAATGTATACACTTTTTAAAAGCCTGTAAGGATTGGGATACATAAATACCTGGGCAATGCCGGGTTATTAGCTAGTCAGGCTATAAATGATCCTGGTAGAAACTGCTAACATTCAGTTTACATGCGCTCATGCTTAAGCTGATAATAGAAGAAGCTAACGACTAAATTGAAGTTATTTGGTTCAAATCTGCATTTTTCTTCCTTCTAATATTGACATAATTGTGGATTGTTGTAAGAATAATTACAGCAAATGTGAAATAGTTATTCATATTTATTATATAAAATTAGGCATGGGCTTACAATTTTATAGACAAGATCTATAAAAAATCACATTTCCTAAATAATTTTTCCAATATAATTATATAGACTTCTCAAATCACTATAATGCATGAACAGTGAGAATATACTTTGAAAGCAGAGGTTTGGGAGTAGGAAATAGTTATACTGACATAATGAAAAGTAGACTATTTTCCTTCATGCATATTTCAGAAAGATAACTATTATTTATTGAGGATGAATAGTCACCAGTCACGAACAACCATGACAATGATGAGACTTTTTGTACTTCTATTAAACAACAAATCTCTTTCATTGCATTACGGCCTGATCTTGCCTTAGTGTTTGCAATAAAGGAAAACTGACAATCCTTCCATTTTACCAAACACCACAATGGGATTCCACATCTATGACAGCTATCATGATCCACAAATGACACTTATGAGCATTTTTGGTCTTCTTTCCACCAGGCATAGATTTTTGTCCAACTACAGATGTGATAGCCAAAGTCCTCTAATAGCCACTATGTGCGCGCCAAAAACCGGAAGAGAAGCTGCCCGCATGCATGCGCATGCCAGGAAAATGATGTTCCGCTTTCCGTCACATGCACACACGTGCACTCCCATTTTGGCACTCGGTGTACTAGATGCCAAAAAGGTTTGCCAACAGTGTTCTAGTCCAACATCTTAAAATTACTACACCCTAGTTCCCTTTTTGCACCAGACTAGTTTTTAAGTCTTGCAAGACTTTCATACCTAAAATAGTAGATATACTGTAGTACTTTGGGGCAGGCAATTGGGGAGGAGTCAAGAAAGGAAATTATCTTTAGAAAGCTAAACCTTAGATTTGATCAGGTTAGTTATATTCAGAACCAGTTTTTTTTTCCCCTTAAAAATAATGGTCCCTTATAGCATCTAATGTTGATCCCAGTGGGAGTTGGGGGTGCAAATGGCTTTGACAGTGTCGAATGACAACAATCCCTTTCTATTCTTTCAAAAACATTTCACAGAAGAAAAATTTTAAGTTTCTCATTTACCCATAAGATAGTCTTTTTATTATTATTTATTCAACATCTCTGGCAGGACAGATAAGCGATCATCCCTCTTCTTTCAAAATCCACACTTTGAAACTGTTCCAGGTTATTACAGTCTGTCTATAATACTTTTTAGCGGAAATTTTACACCCCAATCACAATCACCATTGTTATTTCAGATCAGCAACCATTTCCTTCATTCCCAAAATGGCTTGTCAAGCCTGAGCTCTTAAATAAGGCAGCACTAAGTCAGGTACATTCCATCTTGGAGTTTGTGTATTTATACTAACAACTTTGTCTTCTGTTCTTTTTTTTTCTTTACTTTTCCAGGTGGAGAGGTTTGTGTTAATTGTCCAGAAGATAATTGTCCATATTCAAATATGAATGAAGACCAATGCATTTCCAAAGTTATAAGTTACCTGTCATATAATGATTCCCTAGGGATCACTTTAGCTTCATCTGCCACTGTCTTTGCTCTGATCGCAGCAGTTGTGTTTACAATCTTTCTAAAGCACCAGGACAGTCCCATCATCAAAGCTACTAACAAAGGCCTGACTTACATCCTTCTTATTTGCCTCCTGTTTTGCTTTCTCTGCCCCTTGCTATTTATTGGTGAGCCAAAGATATTGACCTGCCTTACCTGGCAGACAGGATTTGGTATCATCTTCTCTGTTGCTCTCTCATCTCTTGGCTAAAACAATCACGGTGGTTATGGCATTCACAATTACTAAATCCTGGGTGATAAAGTGGTTGGAGAAAAGATTAGCAATCTTTATTGCCCTTTTCTTTCTCTTATTCAAGCAGGACTTTGCACAGTTTGGTTAAATATTTCTCCTCCATTCCCACATATGGATATGCATTCATTGAAAGGGAAAATCATAATAGCTTGTGATGAACAAACTATTTTTTTCTTTGGCTGTGTGCTAGGTTATTTGGGTCTTTTGGCCATTACCAGTTTACTGCTGCTTTTTTTGCTAGGAAGCTACCTGCAGTTTTGATGAATCCAAATTCATTGCTTTCAGCATGGTGGTCTTTTGCAGTGTTTGCTGTCAGTTGCTGCCACCATGAAATATACCGAGGCTGTGGAGATCTTCTCCATCTTATCATCCAGTGCTGGGCTATTGGGTAGCATTTGTTTCCCCAAATGCTATATTCTTGTGCTAAGGCTCCAGCTTAATAAGAGGGAAATGATAATAAAGAAAAAATAATAAAATATGAGTACCTATTTTGTCCCTTTGGTGTGATCATGTCATAGGACATATCCACATCTGAATCTGGTGTTAGTTTTAGAAGACAGTTTCTTTATAAAACCAGAACCATCTAATAATCTCTGAATACAAAACTGGGGTTTTGTTTTTTACTGTGCAAATGTTATCCACTAACTGTAAAGCCAAGTTGTTATCTTTGTTCCCCGTCTCTTTGTTCCCCTCAAAATCTTTCTCTTTCATAAAGTGGCATATGAATAGCTCTAAAACACTGCTATTAATTTGAGACATGAAAAAACAGAAATATATAGATTGTAATATCACTGTATCCCTTTTCCCTTATAATAGCCATCATTGTCATCATTATTTTCTCAAGCTATATTGATTTTAATTGTGCATACTTCCTTGAGTCTCATGTCAAGACAGCAACTATATGGGATGGATGGATGGATATTAAGTAATTCTAATAATTATAAGTGTCATACAACAAGAGTAAAACAATAAATATCTAAAATCATTATCAACGACAAAAATTAAAACATTAAAAAAATATTTTCTACCACCAAGTGTTGGCGGAAAAGGACCAACTATGTCAGTGTGTACCAAATCAAAAATGCGTGTTGACAGGCGTGTAGCGCGTTTTGGAATGGCTGATGCTTTGGATTTGGCTTTCTTGCAGACAGCACAATCCAGAAACACCTTACACCTCTTTAGATCCAAACCTTTTGTGAACTCCGGCATCTTCCTAAGAACACGGAAACTGGCATGCCCCAATCTTCTATGCCACTTATGGATACACCTGGAATGCAAAGATTTACCAGTTAGTGAATTTTCAACATTAACAGTTTTATGAAAAACCTTAGGCTTGCTCTGAGCAACCTGTTTCCCAATTTTCTTTTTGTTGGCTTTTGGAATAGCAACATGATCTCTCTCTGGAGCATCTCTCTCTGGGCCTGTGCTCTCCCTTTTTGGAGTTTGTATACTTGCCTGTGTTTGCAGTTTAGGATTTGGCTTTAAGTAATAAACACCACCAATTAATATGGTTTCAGCAACAATATCTCCATCTTTAACTATGTAACTTGCTTTTTCAAGGTGATGAACCTGGAATTTTAATGCTCTAGACAAGTGACTCTGGCTAAGCAAATTACTGGTTGCTGTTGGTATATAATAAACATCAGGAATGAATGCATTGAGCTCTTCAACATAAACAGTTCCTTTTCCTTTGACCTGACAAGGATGATTTGAAAAAGAATAAGGTTCACGTAGTTCAGGTTCAGGCTCGTGCATCTCTGTGAAAAGTTCTTTTCTATAAGTAACATGCAAAGCTGCACCACTGTCCAAAGTCCACAGGAGCCATCTGTCGTACTCTGGATGAGGTTGTGGATCACTGGTTAAAGCCTTGGTAGTACAGGGGTTTAAGGCACCCTGTTATTAAGCTTATTAAGACCAGCTGCCTGCAATTACTGCAGGGTTCGAATCTCGCCAAGGCTCAAGGTTGACTCAGCCTTCCATCCTTTCTAAGGTAGGTGAAATGAGGACCCAGTTTGTGGGGGCAATAAGCTGACTTTGTATAAATATACAAAAGGATGAAGGCTATTGCTGAGCACATTGTAAGCCGCCCTGAGTCTTCGGAGAAGGGCGGCATATAAATCAAATTAAAAAAAAAAAAGCCAATGTGGCAAGTGGAGCTTGTGGATCATGCCTGGGACCACGATGACCTTGTCTTCCACCTCTGCCTCTGCCTCTGGAGTCTGTTCCTCTGGGCTGGTACGGGACGGGAGCTGGAACTCATTGGGGACAATCCCGGGTGGCATGTCCCCGATTACAGATGTAGCATCTTGGCATCCTTGGAGCGTAGGTCCTTCCTCGTAAGGGGCGCCTAGCTGGAGCTCTTGATGCAGGTGGTCCTCTCAAGTGTGGAGTAGCTAACATGAGTGCTTCTTCTTCAATTAAAAGTCTGCATACATTGTCCACTGTGCGTTGAGCAATAGGCACTTGGTTAATCTTTGTAATGGCATCTTTCCATTCATAGTTCAAAGAATTAATGATAATGCTGATCATTTGAATATCTTCAATAGGATAGCCTATTTCTCTTAATTCTTTTCTCAGTCCTTTCAGTTTGGTCAAATGTCCTCCAATTTGTTCACCAGGTTTCAATATCGAACCATGGAATTCAGACATGAGCAAACATGAAGACTCAATTGAAACAGGCCTGTAGCAATTTTCCAATTGGGCCCAAATTTGTTGGGCCGTTGCATCAGGTGGAAATGTAACCTGCAGTTCAGTATCCATGGACATCAATAATGTTGTGCAGGCTTTAGTTTCTAAGTCTCTTATTTCACGTGTCCATGGTTCGGCAGGAGGGTTAAACACCATACGGTGGGTACCTTCTCTACGTAGCAAAAGTCCAACCTCACTGACCCAGGCCTTGTAATTCTGCCCTGACATCTTTAATTTTGACTCACCAGCCAGTGGAGCAACAGAAGGTGCCTGTTGAGGAACGTGCATTTGAGGTGCTGGCTGTGGAAGTAAAGGCACTTGTTGCGCTGGAGGTGGACCAGGAGCTGGCCCTGGTTGTACAGCTGGAGGCACATGTGCATGCATTTGTGGCTGCTGTGGCATTTGAGCTGCAATATTAACATGGCCTGCTGGAGATGCAGTCATTTGCCTTTGCTGCATTATTTATTTTATTTTTTATTTTATTTTAAATTTATATACCGCCCTTCTCCCTGAGGACTCAGGGCGGTGTACAGCCAGAATTAAAAAACATGAAATACAAATATTAAAAACAATTAAAATATATATAAATTTGGCCCAAAATTAAAAATACAAACCAATTAAAACATTTAAAATTTCTTCTTAAGCCAGCCCGGCTTGCTGGAAAAAGTGGGTTTTAAGGGCACGGCGGAAGGCGCTAAGGTCTTGGATTCTCCTTATCTCTGGGGGCAACTGATTCCAGAGGGTAGGTGCCCCCACAGAGAAGGCCCTCCCCCTGGGGGTCACCAGCCTGCATTGATTGGCTGATGGCACCCTGAGGAGGGCCTCTCTGTGGGAGCGCACAGGACGATGGGAGGTTGTTGGTAGCAGCAGGCGGTCTCAAAGATAGCTAGGCCCTATGCCATGGAGTGCTTTAAAGGTGATAACCAGCACCTTGAAGCGCACCCGGAAGACCACTGGGAGCCAGTGCAGCTCGCGCAGGAGCGGTGTTACATGGGAGCACCATGCTGCTCCCATCACTACCCGCGCTGCTGCATTCTGGACCAATTGGAGCCTCCGGGTGCTCTTCAAGGGGAGCCCCATGTAGAGAGTGTTGCAGTAGTCAAGGCGAGAGGTGACGAGGGCATGAGTGACTGTGCACAGGGAATCCCGATCAAGAAAGGGCCGCAACTGGTGAATCAAGCGAACCTGACAAAAGGTCCCCCTGGTTACAGCTGTCAGATGTTCCTCCAAGGACAGCTGCATATCCAGGAGGACTCCCAGATTGCGCACCCTCTATGCAGGGGCCAAAGACTCGCCCCCGATAGTCAGTGATGGAGTCAACTGACTATATCGGGATGCCGGGAGCCACAGCCACTCAGTCTTGGAAGGGTTGAGCTTGAGCCTGTTCCTCCCCATCCAGATCCGCACAGCCTCCAGGCACTGGAGCATTAAGCATTAAGCAAAGCATTAAGCTTTGTTGTGTTCCATCTAAAAGGACACCAGCACCTCCAGGGGGTGCTGAAGATTGAGCCTGTGGAGACACTTGTGGCATTGCAGCCTGAATATCTGAGTGAGTTAAAGACATCTCTAACAAAGTCTGTTGCAATGCCTGTAATCGCTCTCTCAAATCATGATGCATTTCAGCTTTCTCTAGTAAATTACTTTCGCCAGCAGATGGTGCTGCAACTTTAGTTCTAGGCAGTTCAGATAATCTTTCTGCCTGCGTGGCATTGTATGAAATTTGATCAGAGAGAACACCATGTGATAAATGTGATGTGTGCACAGCTCTCTGTTCTGATTGGCCTGACACAATATCCACCAGGGGGTATGTCTTTGGCTCCGAAGAAGAAGACAAAATGGCGTTTTCAGAGATTTTAAAAGCACTGGACTTTCTCTTATCTTGCTCAAACATAGATAAAGCCATTTTTGCCTGGGATAGCTCATGTTCAAAAAAATTTATATGGTTATGATAGGCTTTTATAGCTTGCTCTTTAGGAGTGACCCTGAAGGTTTGAGAGGGATAATAAATTGTTTCTCTCTCTGCGTGGGAAGAAAAAGGCTTTGCCGTTTGTGGAAAATCTGGCCCTGTTACAAATTCAGAAGGTTCTGGGACGACTGTTTGAGAGCATAATTGGAAGGGGCGTTACCAAACTCGGTCACAGCACATTACCTTCAAAAGCAGCTCTGCCTTTATCTTCCTTCTGAAGCCTTTGTAAGAGCATTTCGTCCGTTTCTTCTCCTCCCACGGCTCCCTCTAGCCGGGTGGCTGAGGCAAGCGGCTGGAAACTTGAAAACCTCCTTTCTGCCTCCTCTTTGTTGGAGAAATCAATCAAATCATTTACGAAGAGTGGTCTTAATTTCATTTTTTCTTTTTTCTTCTTTTTTGGCATCTTAGCAGACAATTAATCAGCGTTTCGCAGTCGCAAAAATAATCATCTGGCTAAACTAGCCTAGAGGTCTAATCATCAAAGTAACAAGCAAAGAAAAGCCATAAATCAACCGTCCGTCTGCTACCATTGTCAGAGGCAATCAATCCCGTTACCTTTCTGGGGTAATTGCCTGGATCGTGGCATTTTCCTTGTGTATACCTTTGAAAAATAAAACCGGAATACATCTTCTAATTAAACTCATATTTATTGTAAAGAAGAAAATAAAACATCTTACTGATCTAAATAATTAAATTGTTACATTTTGGTAAAGTTCCTACCGGCTACATCTCTGCAGCCGGACTTCTCTTGGCAAGAGAACAGAGAAAAAGTGTGAAGTAGAAAGAAAAGAATGCGGATATACGTAGTTAGCTTACTGATAACAAAATTGGCAAACTACGGAAAGTCTGACAGTCCAGAAATAATGAGCTCAGCTGGTAAATACAAAAACGCAGTGACAATACCTGCTTAATAGGGCTTTTTGGCCCCCTGAGAGGTGTTCTATTTTATACAAAGTCAGCTTATTGCCCCCATAAACCGGGTCCTCATTTTACCTACCTCAAAAGGATGGAAGGCTGAGTCAACCTTGAGCCTGGTGAGAATTGAACTTGCAGTAATTGAGGCAGCTGGCAGCTAAGTACTACTTTAACAGCAGTAGTTTAGTCCACTGAGCCACCAAGGCTTGTTATCTAAATGAATATGCAATGGATCACCTAATCCATTTTTATCACAAAGTAAGATCATGTTTCTGTTTCCCTCTTAGACTTACAGTGCAGAAGCTCACACATCAATTTTACTCGTTTCTAATATTTTAGATGAGAGAAATTGAAAGTACCTGCCTGCTGATTTGAGCATAGATGTCCTGTAAATATGACTTGTGGGGTGAGTCACACAAGCATAACCTCAAGCCAAGAAGACAAATCCTAATGAATAGAGATGTCCTTCATAATGCAAGGCCGGTAGAAGGAAGATCTTGCAGTAAAAGGTTTTCATGTTTTTTTAAGGGGACGAATGCCAGTTATATACCATATTTTGTTTTTAGTAGGTTCAGAAAACCAGGTGATATGAAAATACCTTACCAGTTGAGATTATGGAGGTATCTCGTCTTGTCGAGTCTACATGGGCACTGCCTGAATTCACATATGGTTTTGCAGATCAAGCTATAGTAGACTGGTTCATATGACATACTGGGCCACAAAGCATGGTTTACAAATTCAGTGACTTTGTTTATGCATCATAAGAAATCAAAAATCAGGATATGGCAACTTGAGGCCCAAGGTCAATAGAACTCCCTTGAAACTTTTTTACTTTTTGCAAACTTTGGATCCTGTCCACCAGAACTGAAAAATGGGTGACAGAATTTCCTCTCACTTTATAGTAGGAAAGCCAATAAATTGTAGTGTGAGTTTTAAAGTAAATTTAATAAGTTTATATCATAAAAAACAGGGGGGGAAATCACCCCAAATCTGGAGGAAAATGCAGCTGACTCTAGGATTATTCGTATTTGTAATACAATCCACCCCAACAAATTTTATCCCAACAAATGTTAAGTGTGATCCTTGACTATTAAAAGATTGTCCTCCCTCATGACAAACTAAAAAAACTCAACTTTTTGTTTATTGCAATATGTGAGCTTTTCGGGGCTTCAGACTTTCGGGGCTTCAGGTGTTTGCCAGCTTAAACTGAATATACCTGGAATTTAAGGCTCTCAAACTTAAAGGGTGGGGATTTTTTTTCCAGAAATCTTCAGCTCTTGTTCAAGTGTGGGTGGGATCTAAAAGATTTTGCAGAGGAAGGCAAAATGCTTGTAACTCACTTTGGATGGCATTTTCTCCTGGAGTTTGATGAATTCAGCATGCCCATGTCCTGCTTCAGCCATATCTTTTATTAGGTGGGTAGAGATTCCTTCATTAATTCCAAAAGAAAAATGTCTACAATGGGAATGATAGAAAAAAAGGCTTATTTTAGCCCACACAATAGCAGTCTGGAATATATCTGTTACTGATCTTCATGAACTGTTATTATGGTTATTATTCCGCCCTGAGTCTCCAGAGAGGGGCGGCATATAAATTTAATAAATAGTTTAATAAATAGTAAATTATACACCAAAATATCAAAATCTGAAAAACCAGTGTTCCAATATTTAAGGGCTGCCATAAGGAAGAGCAGATCAACCTGTTCTCCAAAATACCTGAAGTCAGGACAAGAAGCAATGGAAACTAATCAAGGAGAGGAGCAACCTTGAACTGAAACATTTCCTGAGTGTTAAAGCAATTTGCCTCCAGAAGTTGTGAGTACTCCAACACTGGAGGTTTTTAAGAAGAACCATTTGTCTTAAATGGAATAGGGTTCCCTGCTTAAACAGGGTTGGACTAGAAGACCTCCAATGTCCTTTCCAACTCTGTTATTCTATTATTCAGTCAATTCTAAATTTAGCCTGTACCTATCCTTAAAGAAAAGGGATGCAGTGTTTCAGTGGCTAAGATGCTGAGCTTGTCAATCAAAAGTTCAGCAGTTCAGTGGTTCAAATCCTTACTGTCGCATAATGGTGAGAGCTCCTGTTATTTGTCCCAGCTTCTGCCAACCTAGCAGTTTGAAAGTAAGTAAAAAATGCAAGTAGAAAAATAGAGACCACCTTTGGTGGGAAGGTAACAGCATTCCGTGTGCCTTTGGTATTTAGTCATGCCAGCCACATGACCACGGAGACGTCTTCAGATAGCGCTGGCTTTTTGGCTTTGAAACAGAAATGAGCACTGCCCACTAGAGTCAGGAACAACTAGCACATATGTGCGAGGGGAACCTTTTCCTTTACCTTATTCTTAAACATCCTATCACAGTGAGTGAGAGTGAGAGTGATTCATCCCTCAGAGAAGATCTCAGGATTCAGGGACAAAATGATATACTCACAAAAAAGGCAAAGGCAGTGGACAACTCAGTGAATTATTATTTTACACCTTCCTGCAGCTGAACTCCAGGGAAGTGAGACACTGATGACGTCATGGCAATTTATTTGGACAAGCAACGGCATTCACAAAGGCAGAACAGCTGCACTTTTCAACATGCTTCCCTCTCCTCCCCCCCTCCCCCCCAGAGTCCTGTCTGCTCGGCGTGTCGACTTCTCTTCTTTCCAGAAGGACACTTCCAGCTGCCTAATGCAACGTGACACAGGACATGAAAAAAAAGAAGATGGATATAAAGGACATTTGAGGCTGAATGAGGAAGAGATTCAGACAGAGAGCCCCATTAAATTTCTGCTCATTGTAAAAGAATAAGGTTCAGGGGGAAAAACTAGTAATCTAAACAATTTCATTTTTTAAAAAATTCCCTCCTTTGTCCATCATTAAGAAAAGTTCTGAGCTGGGAGCAAAATACTCTAAATATACCAGGGGCATGTCTAACAAATTGCACTCTTTTTAAAAAAATGCAAATAGTAATATGTAGTCACTTAATTTGTAAACCATGGTTCAAAAATTCTTGTGGCTGAGTTCACACTTTGATTCACAAGGTGAATCAAAAACAAATTCACTATATTATGATTCAACAGGATGGATGAATGTAAATTGTGTGTTTCCAGAACTATATTGCCTTTTGAAGAAGGAAAAAATGTGTAACTTTTCTCCCACTACAGTAGGGTTATACCATTTCAGTAAATTATATAGAACCAACAGAATATCAGAGTTGGAAAGGACCTTGGAGGTCTTCTAGTCCAACCTCCTGCTCTTGTCTATCTTACACATATTTTGCAACAAAATAAAAAATTCAAGGCTATGTTCTTCTCTTGATAAAACTTATTTCTGAATGATATACATAGGTAAAGAAAGGAATGAATAAAGTGTGTTTTTTTAATTTGTTGAAGAAGACACGTGTTTCTAAAAAATATCTTGTACAATCACAAAGACAGTGGAACAGCCTTTGTGGACAGTTTCAAAATAGAAACAGCCAAACTCTAATTCTGTAATTACAGGTAGAGCAATGAAGTAGTGTAACAGAAGAATAAAACAAAACTGATTTTTACAAAACTGAATTTAACATAGCTGAATTTATAAGGATTTTTACATTTAATAAATGAAATATAGGTTGATTCTCTGGTGTTTGGGTTTTTTGTCCAGTTTTCTTACTGGATGAATATTTTTCCTGGTTCATAACTTTTTCATCAGTCTAGCAACAATAGCCATTTGAAAATGACAGTGTATTCTTTCTATAGCAAATGTGCAATCATAAAAGTGGAGTTTCATCTGTATGATGAACTTATTCATTTCATTTATTCATACAGTTGTTCATGAGAAGTCACATCTGTTTCTGAAGCTTTTTGAATTGGTGGGAAAATATCAGTCATTTTACTACTCAGTTGAATATAGAACAAAGCTAAGTAATCACATTTATGTAGAATTTTCAAATTGTCTGTAGATTAAATTCAGTATGAAAGCTTCAGAGTTCCATCGAGAGAACCATTTTTAGCAGGTTATTATCACTGAGAAAGTAAGACAACATAAATATAAATTTCTAGAAAGGAAATTAAAAGTATAGGTAGTTCTTGACTTAGAACCATTCATTTAATGACCCTTCAAAATTATAATGGCACTGAAAACAGTGACTGACTGGTCCACACACTTAATACCATCACAATAGCCCAAAGTCACATGATCAAAACTGGGCGCTTGACAACTGACATGTATTTACAACAATTGCAATGTCTCTAGGTCATGGGATAACGATCTGGGGCCTTCCCAGCCAGCTTCCAACAAGCAAAGTCAATGGGAGAAGCTGGTTTCACGTAATGACAATTTGATTCACTCAATGACTACAGCAATTCACTTAACAACCGTCTTGCTTAGCAATGGAAATTCTAATCCTAATTGTGGTTGTAAGCCAAATAATACCTGTATCACCACAGGGTGTATTTTTCTATCATTCTGCAAAGCTTCAAAACCAGCTTACTTTATTCTATTCCAATGGCAATTTCTGGTCCAAACAGAAGGTCCATATGATGATTTGATGAAATCAGAAAAACCTACCAGTGCATGGACAGCCTATAGTTAGGCTGTCCTTGTCAGGAAATGGCATAATTGTAACCACTAACTGCAGCTTAATAAATGCTTCTGGCCACAGAGATTATTGGATCTTCAATGATAATTATGAGTATAGAAGTATCTGTTGTTTTTCAGGAAGTGAAACTCCTGAAACTATATGAAGCTCCAGTAACTATGGCCAAATTTCACAGTTCCGTTATCTGGAACCATCACCCATAATGCTTGTGTGTTCTCAGGATTTAATTGAAATTAATTGACCATCATCTGCCGCATCACTGTTTTCAGAGAACATGTACAGCTTCTAATTTAGA